AATTACTTGATGGTGAAATTCAACAGTGCTATTTGTTGTTTTGGTTTTCTCATTTAATAAAATGTATTGAACACATAAATTGAGTGGTTAAAGAAAAAAAAAACATTTTGAAATTCTGTGAATGGGAGCCTGTTTGAAAATGAAGGTAGGTTGATTCTTGTTACGTTAATGAGAACATCAAAGAGTGGAGAGGGTCCTAAACCTACTGCCTTCTGAGAGTAGGACCTTTTTTTATAGCAGAAATCGGAAATAACTTGCCGGTTTATGAAAGAGTGGGTTAAAAAATAAAACAAAAAACCTCACTGCTCAATTCAGGCTCAGAGGGACCCTACAGGACTGGGTGAAACTACTCCAGAGTTTCTGAGGCTGTAAATCTTTATGGAGGCAGACTGCCCTATCTTTTTCCCTCAGTGCAGCTGGTGAACCACTGACCTTTCAGCTGGCAGCCCAATGTATAAATGTTAGGTAGCTAGAGTTAGAGACGGGGTTGTCTGTCCCATGCCTGCAAAGGCCCCCATAGAGGAGGTTTTCAAGAAATTAGGCAACCATTAGATGCCTACGAAGACCCCAAACTGAGCATGCTCACACTCAAGCCCCCAAGCCAGGTGGGAGGTACACTTGCGCGGTCCAAACTAGGTCCAGGCTCATGACATCACCCAGGTGGGCTCAACCCAGCCAACGTGGTCAACCAATACCTTCAATCTCGCCTACCCTCAGCCAGGCGGGGAGCTAGAATAAAGGCGGGGAGCACGCTCAGGCATGCTCTCTTGCCACAGTCTCTGGCCCCAGTCCTCTTGCTCCTTTCTCCCTCGGTCTCTGGGATCCCTCCCCCTGTTCCACACATGTGGGTGCGCTTTTCCACGAGATTGCTCATGCCCAGTTGTGAATCCTTTTGAGACTGTAAAACCTGAAACTTGTCCTGACCTTCGTAAAAATCCACTCGGATTACAAAACAGGCTTTGGTGTGAATTCTTTCATCGTGCAAAGCCAAGACCGGGTGCATTACCCACTCAAGAAACC